ATTTTTAGAGCATATTTGAATACTTTCAGGTAGAAAGTTCTTCACTTATGTTTATTTCTACCTATCTATCCCAGATGATTTCTCACACTCAATCTGAAATGCGGATTAAGTATAAAATGCCCAACCTCTATAAAGGAAATTACTTGGGTATTTGAATATTTGAAGATAACTATAGGAGTCCCCTCAACACCCTCTCTCTCTCTCATGCTTTTGTTTTAAACAGATAAAATATCTTTTCTTCTTTTAGTAATGCCTCATATTTCTTACTTTCCAGAATTCTCACCACTTTGTCGGTTCTCTTCTGAGCATCATTTGTTTTCTGAGCCCTTGGAAGGCAGCAACCAGGGCTAAATAGAGGACTTCAGTATCTTCTGATACTGAACTGAGACCTACGGACCTATGAATACAGCCTGAGACCAGATGAGTTTCTGTGGTCAGATTCATCCCACTACTCCTACCACATTCAGAAATCACAGGTGGTAGAAAGACATAGTCTTTGGAGCCAGACACAGTTGAATTCAATCCTGGCTCTTTTACTTGCTTAGATTTAGAATTAAATAACTCCTACAGATCTGGATGTTATTTAATCTCTTTGAGCCTCTGTGATTTCACTGGTAAAATAGGAATAAAATTTGTAGGGGCCATGTACCTCTCTCAAATTGTCTACTGTGGGGAACATAACCAAAGGAAGCCCCAGCTGTTCTGTTCTGATCCTCAGGTGTGTGCTGAGGTCATGCTTCCGACAGGCTGCTTCAAATAAGGACTCAACAGGTCAGGGATACTAAGACAGTCCCATTCCTGCAAGACAAAGTCTCCTCCAAGAAGTAACTTTGTCTCAAGAACTCTCATCAGCCTTGCCAAAACTTCCTTAGAGTTTCACTGTAGTGTAAGACCTCCCCCTTTCTTCCTACCCTCTGTCTTTCACAGAAGTCAGACCCTCACTTCAGTCCAAGGCTCTCCTGGCCTCTTGCTCCTTCCACATTTCCCCTCACTAACATTTCCCCTATAAATCTCTTGAATATTTCATTCTGTCTTGGTGTTTGCTTCTTGGATAACCTGAACTAACACAAAACTTCATAAAGTTCTTGTAAGGATAATAATAGGTACTTAATCATGACTATAATAGCAGCTTATATTGACCAGCATGACCCTTTCAGTTTTACACATGGTGCAATTTGCTTGCTTATATCTTCCCCGTTCTGGATTTATAAAGTTGATTTTGTTTTTTACCTTTAAGAGCATGACTTATATTCATCTCTATTCAATTTTGTATTTTAAGATCTGATCCATTATTCAAATCACTGTGGAGCCTGACTTAGTTAGACAAATTATTCATTACTCATTGATGTGCTAAGTAGTTCATACTAGCTCAGAGTAGTTGGTTGTTCAATTTTCAGAGATTTGGCAAGTCAGTTGTTAAACTGTTGGCTTCTTGAAATTGGCCATGGTTGGGGTATTCACACCATGAAAATTGGGAAACAGTACAAATTGGGACTTTTTAAAACATTTTCAAAAAGCTGCTTAGTGAACACATAACTGGTTTTTCTTCCTAAATGAGTGTCTTCAACACAAATAAAAGTTTTAAATATGTTGAGACAAAGAACAGAACCCTACGGTTCCGTAATTTAGTAATTTGATGGCTTGCCTCAGTAATGGTTGTGGTATCAGGCTCATTTAGCACAGGTATTCTATGGGGTTGAGTACTGAAATCTTGGCAATAGCCTGACTAGACAGAAGGATCAGAAAAATATGGATCCTGAAAACTAAATCTGTATATCTGGGATTCTTGTCTTATGGTCAAGCAAAAATTTGATGAACAGAACTATCAAGAATTTGAATTTCTTCTTGGTTTGCTGGCTGTGAACGAGACTGGTGGCAATGAGACCATAATTTTGAATCTCTTGGATTCCATAGCGGTACCTCAGAGGCCCTTGAGTGAAAAAGGATAGTGGCAAATAGGGGGTATCCTGGGTCCCCCAGCCTGAGTTAACCAAAACTTGTTCCTCTTTTATCATTTTATATGTTGAGATCCCACTTAATAGAGCTTTTTAAGAGATATCGACAGGTTTAAAAACAAAACAAAAGAGTCACTATTGTAGATCATCTAGGCCATAAAATCAGATCATATTCCCTACTTTGCAAAATGAAAAGACAATGAAATGTTCTGGGGAAAAATGGTATGAGAGGTATGTCTCTTACCTGAATTTCTCTCTACAGGTTCAAACACTGAAATTGTATTATCACTGAGATAATATGAAATAACAAACATTCTGTCCACATCCTCACATTTGTCAGTGATTAGTTTTGCGAAATATCGGAGTATATTGCTTATGTTGCCATAGCTAAATGGAAGAGAAATGAGGATTACAGTATTATACAAGTAATATTCCACATAGTATGTATATTAAAAAAGAAAGAAAGAAAAAAAAAAGCCTGCAAGAGCCAGCCCCATAGCACAGAGGTTAAGAACCATGCAGAGGAAGCTGGATCCCACATGGTCAACTAAAGTTCAAATCCCAGCTCTGTGGCAACATACTGAACACTCAGGATCCTGACAGGACAGCAAATTAGGGGAAAAAAGATAGTGTAACCAGGCCCTCAGGGGTGCTTTCTCTGTCTCTCTGTCTCTTTCTATCTCTCTCTCCCTCATGATCATGCACATATGCTCCATCATGAATAAAGGAGGAAAAAAAAAAAACCTGCAAAAGGTGTGCTATGGTTTAAGTATAGTAGCATAAACTCTCTGAAGTAAAAGTATTCAACCATTTCTTATTAAGGTTCTAAATCTAAATGCATAGGGATTTTCTCAGTATATTAAAATACCTCTTATTCTTAACATGTCCTAGGCAACACATTGGGGAAATGCACTCAAAAACAGATGTCATAATAAACACACTGCTCAAACCTGCCACATGAACTGGCTGTTCTTTAATTGCAAGGCTGGTCAGCAATCACAAAATCATGTCATAAAGGAGCACAACACCTAACCCTGTTGCCTGAGTGTGCTCTGCAAGCACCTAGGGTCACCTCCCTGTTCATCTCAACTATCTCATGCCTATCGCTTTTTCTCCAGCCAACATCTTCTCCTCCCTGAGTCACTCCTCCAGCTCCCCAACATTCCTCCCCAATGTTTTCCTTTCAAATGCTGTTCTAAGTATTATAGACCTGATTTTTCTTATAGCTTTTATTCCCAGTGTTATATGTAGCCATTATAAGTCTGTTCTCTGAGGGCAAGGACTCTTATTGTTACCTAATATAACATCTTTACACTCAAAGTACTCAATAAATGTTTGTATAAAGTTGTTATAAGAGCTCTATGGATTGGGGACCATCAGTTAGCGTAATGACTATGTCGCTGGACTCCCATGTAGTCGGTTTGAGTCCTGGACCCGGTGGCTTAAACTCACACCGGGCGTATGTGTGTGTGCGTGCCCAAGATCTCGGGAGAAGAGTGGAGGAGAAGGGATGGCGGTGTGACCATCTCCGCTGGGGGGTGATTTCTTGCTTTCTGTCTCTGTCTCTCTCTGTCTTTCTGGTGAGCGCACACGCTCTATAGCAAAAACCTCTCCAACAAAAAAATAAAAAGAGCTCTATGGATTGGAATTTGCGCTCGGAAGTATATACATGACTAGAACAGTCTAGTAGGCTGAAGATGGGATCTAATTCTTTTTTTTTTTTTTTTTGGAGGTTTTTGCTATAGGACGCATGCGCTTGCCAGACAGACAGAGAGAGAGACAGAAAGCGAGAAATCACCCCCCAGGGGGGATGGCCACTCTGCAATCCCTTCTCCTCCATTCTCCCCTCAGGATCTTGGGCACACACGCACACGTGCTCGGCGTGAGTTTTAAGCCACCGGGTCTGGGACGCAAACTGCGGTCGACTAGGTGGGAGTCCAGCAACATAGCCATTACACTAACTGCTGGTTCCCAAGATGGGATCTAATTCTTGAATTGAAAGTTTCCAAAGTTGATTACCTGTTCACCAAAGAAGGTGATTTATGATCTGTCAGCAGTAGCATGCCTATCGATGATATTAGGTAGTGAAAGCTGAACTGTGTAACAAATAGCAAACCCCTGGGGAGCTTTCTCACAATTAGAGTCACTACCTCAAGGAGGCACACAGTAAAATAAACCATGTCCTTCATCACTTCCCTATTATAACTCTAAACAGAGAGGTCCTCTCTTATACTCTCCCATGCTGAAATTAATTCTTCCTGTGTGTTCATAATGATAAAAAAAATTAAGTATAGTCATCCCTCAGGATTTGAGGAAGATTGGTCCAGGACACCTCCCCACAATAGACACGAAAATCCAGATGCCCAAGTTCCTTACAAAAAAAATGGGGAACCAGCAGTTAGCATAATGGCAATGTCACTGGACTCCCATGTAGTCAACCGTGGTTCGAGTCCCAGACCCAGCGGCTTAAACTCACGTCAGGCATGTGTGCATGCGTGCCCAAGAATCCCGAAAGGAGAATGGAGGAGAAGGGATTGCGGCGTGGCCATCCTCCCTGGGGGGTGATTTCTCGCTTTCTGTCTCTCTGTCTCTCTCTGTCTGTCTGGCGAGCGCACGCACCCTATAGCAAAAACCTCTCCAAAAACAAAAAAAGAAAAAAAATGGTACAGCATTTGAATATAACTTATCTAACTCTTACTATATATTTTACATCATCCTTTGATTACTTACACCTAATATGATCCAAACACTAAATAATTGTTATATTGCCTTGTTTTAAAATTTGTATTATCTTTTATTGTTATTTTTTATTTTTTATCAGAGTTCTTTTCTGAATATTTTCCATTTGTGGTTGGCAGAATCCATGGATATAGAACTACAGATATGGAGGGGGACAACTGCACTTCTGATCTGCAGAGGCAAAAAGTGCTTTTCTCCACTCTTTTCTTAGTCTGAGAAGGCATAACATTAAGGTTCCCGGCTTTAGGCCTCATGCTAGACTGAATGCAGCAGTCTGGAAGGCTAGTCCCCAGACAGCCCAGACAAAACAGCCAGCTTACCACAGCTCTGTTTTCTTAGTGCCTAGTTCCCAGGCTTCAGATGGACCTCACATAGCACTAGGGGCAGCTATACTTTGACAAACATCTCCCAACATATTGGATTTATAAGTAACAAATAGATTCAGTAGCCCCCTCTTATGAAAGACCCATAACTTTTCAGATGCCTGAAATATCACTGCAACAACTAAATGAGGCCTATCCTCAGGGCAAATGAATACTACTATAAATTCAACTTCTTGACTTACATGAATTTACAAGTGATATGTTAAGTGTAGATTTTTTACATGTTCCTTATGCCATTTTTTTTTCACTTCTAGTGTTCTGGAGATTGCATCAATCAGGAATATAATCTACTCAATAAAATCTTTAGAACACCAGTTTGCAAAGTTCATTGCATATAAAAGTCACCTGGGAGCTTGTTAAATATCCAGAACCCAGAGTCTCACCTCCCGAGATATGGATACAGTAGTTAGCTTGCATCTCCAGAAACCCGCATTATTAATAAGTATCCCAGGAGATTCTGATCAGGTGGTCTCTCCAAAGCACATTTTGAGAAACGCAAGTGTCTTCAGATATTTCCTTGACTAAAAACCTAATTACCAAACTTCTCTGAACATTCTTTTTATCACCATGCTCTACCCTCCCACCTGACCACCTATTCACATCTCCTCCATCAACTGTAATATTAGACCCAATTTAGCCCTAGAAGACTTGGGCTCTTGACTGTTTTTATTATTATTATTATTATTATCATCATAATCTTGTTTATATTACATTGAATCACATATAACTTTACAGTGTATTACATTTCTTTTTCCAGAAGGAATACCATGCATATCAGTCAATACAGAGACATTAAAATCCTCATTTCATCATCCAATAGCTTTTCATTATTTTTCCCAGTCATTATTATTATTATTATTATTCCAATTATTTTTTTAAACAGTCAATCACTATTTCTCATTTTGCTTGTAAAAAGACTTTACCCAATATGAAATACTTCTCAGACCAATCCAGTTGAGAATACTATACACGTCATCATTAACAGGTAATAAGCCATATCTGTGTCCCACTAAGGTCATGCCTCTCTATTTGTTCTCTTGCTATCTTTCTCTGTACTCTTCTCTTCTCCCGCCCCATTCCACACTATCTTATCCTCGTTAACTATTTTCACTGTTTTTATGTCCTCCAATTGACTGGTTTTTCAAAAAGTGTTTACTACCATTGTCCTAAAACTTTACCTATAATCTTTCCCATCCTAGTGAATAGTAACACCATCTTTCTAGTTGCTCAGGTGAAAACCTTTGGTCATCCTTAGCTCCTTGCTTCTTTCACATCTCATATTTGATCTGTCAAGAAACTGCAATGACTCTAGCCTCCAAATGTTTCCAAAATCCATTTTTTAATATCATCACATCTAACACACTCATCAAGATCTAAGCCACTATAACTTTTCTCTTGCACTGTTGCAGTAGGTTCTTTGCTGGTTTTTACTTCTCCCATTGTCCTCCTATATTTATAGCCTACTCTCAACACTGCCCTGGAGTGATTCTTTTAATACGTGATTGAGACCAAGTCATTTCTCTGCTTAAATCTCCCAGTTGTCCCCCTTACTAATTAAAGTCAAAAGAGTCCTTTTAGGGGCTAGATGACAGTACAGCAGAAAAATGTGATGCTCTGTGAGGCGGAACACATGACAATGTTCTGGGTTCAGATCCAGAGACCTTCTTGAGTATGCTGGATGCACATATGGCCATGATGTGGGGCTGGCTGAGGCTGGATCTCAATGTCTAGATCCTGTTGGGGGTGCTATCTCTGTTTTCCTCACTGTTTCTCTGTTTGTCTGACTCGTGGAAGAAAGAAAGAAACTTTTGGAAAAAGAGCCCTGTGCCAGCCCATGGCATGGTGGATAAGGTGGCTGGATCCCACATGGCCAACTGTGCAGTTCAAATCCCAGACCCAGTGAGTTGAGAAACATTCCTGGTCCATGTGCGTGCATGCCCAGAATCCCAAAAGGAGGGAGAGATGGAGGAAAAGGGATTGCAGCATGACCATTCCCCACAAGGGGAGTGTTCTCACTTTCCCTCTCATTCTTTGTTCCCCCCAGTGAGTACCTGAGCCCTCTGGTAAAAAATTTAGAAGAACCCTTGTAATTGTCTACAAGGCTCTACGTGATCTGATTCCCCCATTAACTCCCTTATCTCATCTCTGCATACTAGGCCCTTTATTCATCTATTCATGTTGGCCTCCTGAATAGTTCTTGCCCATCCTAAGCAAGCATCTTGCTCCAGGGCCTTTACATGGACTGTTTCTTCTGCCTGGAACAAA